TGATCATCCACAAACCTGGAGAAAAGGCCCACCTGAGGGACAGAAACAATTCCATATTAAAATGGAGTAGACTAAGAAATTGATTGAGGTGGAGCAAATCTATTACAGGCCACCAGTCTCCGGTTTATTATGGGGACAACAAAGAGCCTGGAATAAAAGCTTGGAGAAAATGATGAACAGGTTCGACGGCCTGTTGGGTCAAAAGGTCATGTACTATCTCTGACAGATGCTAGGATCCAGAGGCATAGGGAAGGAAACGAGCATTAGAGATAAAGAGGGGGGAAAGAAATTAAAGGACAAGTCCTTCTAATAAAACTCTAATAATCCACTGATCTGTGGTGATAGATCACCAAAGGGGAAGAAATTCACACAATTGAGATCCCACTGGACCACAATTCACTGGGTGGTCACTGCTAATGTTGGCATCATGCCCATCTATGTTGAATAAAAGGACAAGATGAGGAACAAGTAATGACAAAGAAGGACTGGGATGGGAAACAGGAATAAGGGCTTGTCATGGTTCAAACTCTGACAAATTAGCTATTAAAGAGGAAAGATTAGAGTGTTGATGCACAGACTCCACACATGTTTCCAAAGTCTCAGATACATGGTTAAAAACATACAGGGGCCATACATAAGTCACTTAAATAAGTGGTTGGCAAACAAACCTGCGACAAGGCCACATCATGACTTAGAAGATACCAACAACAGAGAAACCACACGTGTAAAGCAAGAGCCGAAGACGACAAATGAACCAATGTGGAGGTAATAAGGGAGAGGCTGTCCCTCGAAATACACTCAGGAACTTGGTGTATCGCCTCAGAAAGGAGATGGATGGCAGATATATAATGTAGAAGTGAAGTAAGGGTAAGACGAAGACACAAAAACTGGGCATGAGTTAAATGCACAGGAAAATCAGGGATTACATCCACACAGGTAAAATACACCCCAACTGCTGAGAGTTGAGAAATGGAGAGTCAGCTTGATGGTAAGTCAAGGCAAACGTAGAGGGCAAGGCATGTTGGCACTCTCAACCAATTGTGAAGCAAATTTCTCAGTATGAACCTTATTATCCGGGGAGGGTGGGAAAACCAAATATGGAGAGGAAGAACTATCATGCAACAAAGAAGGACAGGGATCATATGAAATTGGGAGAATGGACAATACATCACATAGCTGAGGAATCATGTCTAAAAAATGGCATATTAGGCCTAGATGATTCTGCAGGTTGGGCATAGGAAGACACATCAAAATCCAGTGGTGGAAAAAAGCTATCAAAATCTTCATCGACCTGAACAGGTTTGGCATGTTAAGGAGGAAGTGGGGCAAGTTCAGAAGAAGGTGGTTGACCCATATAATGATCAATCTCTTGGCAGATAATTGCTGACAAATCCAACTATGGGTTACTCCCACCTGCAGCCTGTGAAAGAGTGCTTGTACGAGGTATGATACTCGAAATGGTAACATGAACCTCAGAATTCATTTCAGATATAGGAATTAAACAAAAATGTTTGACAGATAAATGCAAAAGTGAGAGAAAAAAAAGACTTGGAAATTAAGTTAAAGTAAAATGTGTCTTCAGTATAATGAAAAAGTGAATGAAGAAATCCCACTTCGGAATTGAAACTATTAAATTTACGAGTGCAAAGAATATGAAAAGCACCAAACCAAAAAATGTCTGAAAACTAGTACTGCCAAACGAGAAGTGATGGTTAGGTAGAATGGAATAGATGGAGTTACATGCATCCTGAGAGTATGTTGCACTCCTGTTGGTGGAGAGCTGATGCATGATGATTTACATGAGACACATCGGAATCAGTCAATTCCAATGGAGGGGAGATAGAAGGCTTGGACATACATAATTTTTTTTTGTTATATAGTGGGCAGCACTAAACGAGAATAGCTAGTTATGTGAGTGGAGGTAATGTACCATATTGGAAACAACATTACACGATTGGTGAAAGTTTCATAGAAACACAAGAGCAAAAAAAAATCAGGAGAACGAAAATAACTAATAATGGTGTACAAAAAGAAGACTTCAAAACAAGCCAAAATACAGTATGCAGGGAGGAAAATTGACAATGGGTTACAGTAATATGAGAAATCAAAGCAGGAAGTGTATGAATACAGAGATAGTGTCAAAGATGAGAGAAATAAAATTCAAGTATAGAAATAATCTCACATGACACAAGCACCCTCAGGCATAACTGGGATATGTTTAATATAAAAAAATATAGAACACACTTGAGAGCATAAGAAATTGAAACCAGTAGAAATTTTCAGGATTAGGGTTAGCACTGTAGCAGACAAAACCAGCTCTCCAGACACTGAAGATGATGAGGCATGAACAAAAAACTACCATCACTAAACAAAAGCAAATTGCAAATGGTATGTAAATAATGTTTTTAATCTTAACATGAAAATTACTTGGCATGTTGGTTAGATAACAGGTGAAAAGAATAAAGGCATGATAAAAACATTGTTTAACAAACCTTAAGATTTAATAAAAAAAACATCTGATATTTTGCATATGAAAGCATTGTAATATTTACTGATAATCTGCCAAATTTTGTGAACATATGCTTACTAATTTAAAAGTTATAGCATGAAAACTATAACAAGTCAGTGCTGAATGAGTTACCCTATAACACTCACTTGAGAATTTACAATTAGCATATTGCTCAGTTAGCCTGATAACAGCCCTAAAAACAGGATTGAAGGTTTTGAAGAAAAAAGGTTTCTTGTGTGGTAAGTTTGCGTTTGTAGGCATTTAAATATTGGATATGTAATTCATTTTGTAACTTTCTTTTCTGTATATTATTACTTATCTACGTGCGTGCACACATCTTTTTATACGAAAATCCACCATGAGGAATGTGTCCACCATGTTTGAGTGTTTTAACTATTATGGTATGTTATAGTGTTTTTATTTAACTATTATGGGATGTTATACAGTGATTTATTAAAACTATTATGGAATGTTATAGAGTGGTTTTTAAAACTATTATGAGTTGTTATAGAGTGGTTTTTGAACTATTATGAGTTGTTATAGTGCTTTTTTAACTATTATGGGATGTTATAGAGTGGTTTTTGAACTATTAAGGAATATTATAGTGGTTTTGAACTGTTACTAACTTATAGCCTGTCAAAAATGACGTGGCAAGTACTACCCCTAGTATACCCTAACCTCACATTTCATGGCTAACTAAAATAAATGAATTTTGCAAAATCAAGCTTGGCCCACAAAGAGGCAGAAAAGTGCAGGCAAACCTTGGTAAATTCTATTTAATGAGGCAAGAATTTGTAGTTTGAGTAAATAATGTCTATGGTATCTCCAGTCTTGTTTCTTTACTGTTTTTTACAATCCCTACTTGCAGGTTTTTAAATTTCCAAGTTTTTTTTATTTATCTTGTTTGCTGGCTTTTTTATGCTCAACTATGGGCAGAGGATTATTTGATATTGTAGCTAATTGTATATACTGTAATGATAATAAACATAACCGGTAGCTAGCTGATATGGTTCATGATGAATCACTGTAGCTATTGACTATTTGATTGCATTATTTCAAGATGTAAAGTGTTAACCTGCAGCTGCACATTTGTTAGAGAATATAGTGAGCATTTATAATAAGTTTCTGTGTAACTAAAATCTCTATATATACAATGCATATCAATGGGCAAATATATGCCTAGGCAAAACACAACCCCAACTAATAGCAAAAAAAGATTTTATCACTAGAAAAGAAGCCTTTTCAAATAAAATCCCTACATCTAAAACATTGATTTAAATAAACCTTTGTGTCTTTTAAAGTAATTATTCTACGAATGTGTGTAATAAATTTTAATATTATATGTATTGATTTTATTTTACTCCTTCACTTCATACATAATATGACACCCATTGTATGGTGTACAAAACATTGAGTACCTACATGTTATAGTCAACTAATGTACATCTATTATTAGCTAGTAATTTCTGTTTCACTCTGTACTTAAGCTTTTTAAAGGAACACATGATATTCCTACGAAAGTTAACTTCAAGGTCTAATGATAATATCGTTTACACTAGAACTATGATGTTTTTTGCTTATGTAAAATATAGAAGAAACAAATTGACTTTTCAACACACCTACGAATTTCACACTACCTTATTTAGTATTCTACGAAAGGTTTCGGTGCAATATACCAAGCTGTTTTTGTTGCAGGCTGGCAACAGAATAGTAATAATAATAACTAGAAATATGCCATTTTGAGTGGATTTTCTTTTACTTGTAAGTCTAACATGCATGCTTTTTTGTGCATTTTTTTATGTGCACAGCCTTAGCAGTCAAAAGGAAATGTGTTATTTGCACTGAATCTTTACTGTTTAAGGTGTTCTTTACCTGAACGTTCTATTAGGATTTTGTGCAATTCCTTGCAAACTCTATTATGAATCACTATTGTTGTTCATGATAAAATCTGAAGGGGAGGATTAAGAGCATAGATGTGCCACATGGTACAGTGAAGTGAAGACTGAGAATTTTCTTCAAATACTTCCTTTTGAAATTACATATTAAAACTCAGATAATATAAAAATTTGAACTATGCACTATGTTTTGATATCAAGTTTATTGACATATATTTTTAAAACAAAGTTGTTTAATTAAATTTTGAACATAATTCTGTAAAAGATCATTACTTGTGCACTTTGACCCAATTGTATGCATAGAGTTAAAGACATTAATGATGAATTTTATAACATTTATATACCAAGGAAAAATTTTTTACTAATGGCTTGTTTTGTTTATAAAAATCAAAATCATTGAGATCTTCATTTGTAATCAATATATCAAACTTACATAGCTGGTCAACCTTACAATATTATAAGGTGAATTTTAAGTTTTGTTGAAGTTTTTAAAAACAATAAAATATCTTATACTTCTCATTCTTATAACATATAAACATTTAACAATCTTTCCAAATACTGTGATATAAATAAACAGAACATAATAATTGTCCTACCAGATCTCGCTGATCTTCCTGAACCAAGTCCATTTTGTGTACTAAGCAAAAAATCTTTGCTTCCGAAGAGTTTTGAAGAATTGCCTCAAGGCATGACTGGTAGTAGTGCATATCCCTTTCTAGTTCTCGCGATTCAACGTCAAACACATAGATTAAAACCTGCAAAGAATCACCCCTGTTAAGCCTGCATTATTTCTTTTTGAAAATGTCACTTAATTATGTTACCTTTTTGTACATCATGATAATTTCGTATCACACATGTAACTAATACATTATATGACAATCATAAATTTTGTAACAACTTTTATGAGAAAAATAAAAAGAACTTCTCTATGTATTTTAGTTTAATGAGAGGGTTATTCTAAATCACATGATTTAATTTGTTGTTTTTAACATTTTTACAAACCTACTTTTATTATAATATTGGAAATATTTAATACATTAAAATAAGTGAATAATGTAAATTTTATAATCTTTTTATTGAAAGGCACATTAAAAAGGTCAAAAAGAAAACATTCTTTACAGGAGAAAATTCTAACATAATGACTTGAAACTATTAAAAAGTATGCTACCAACTTCTACATTCCGAAATATATTGTCTCTTTGACTAGCAAAGTAGTTCTCCATAAAGGCTTCCTGCCCACCGCAGTCCCACAAGTTCAATACCAAGTTCCCAAGAAACCGAACATGAGAATGTTCTACATCAACTGTTCAAAGAAATAAAAAAGTTCAACATTAATTTCCTCATAATAAACAAAAGATTGATTAGCATTAACTATTCTAAGAGGGGGATAAACTGACATAAAGTAGCAAGACTGTTATTTATGCATTAGTTTTTCCAGGTTTTAGTACTTACTCAAAAAGCATTAATAAATGTAAAAACTGAAAAAATTCTATTATTTCCTTACCTGTGCCACTATAAAAAAACTAATCACTTAACCATTAAAGTTCAGGTAAAGGTATATAATGTTATATTTCAATCTTACTTGTTGCTCCTAAACGCCGAGTATCTCGTGCAATGTAGTTGGCAAAGATGATTGATCTCATGCTTGTCTTTCCAGACCCACTTTTACCCATTAGTAATACCTACAGAAAATTAAAATACAGTCATTAGCTGTAACATAATTCACAAAATACTATTGATAGCTGCTACTAACTTAGCTTTTATTTTCAGAAATTTTTATATTACCAATGTTATACAGCCAACTCACTCCAAAAGTTCACCAAATGAAATAATGGAAAGTAAGGTAACTCACAGAAAAAAAATTAATATTTTTTACTCTAGTATTTAATGTGTGCTCAGTGATATTGAGCAACTACTCAAGTTTTAAATGACATAACTTTCAAAAACATTTCAAGTTTCTAAAGGTAATTTTAGTGCCATAACTTCTGACAACTTCATTCAAAGATCCTGAAATAACTAAACATTTATCTTATGTGCACATGTGCAGGCCAAAGTGTGCATGCCACAACCTTTTAGAAAGTGCCATTGAATATGGTATTATGTGTTTGATATCAGAGTTGTCAACCATTCATTTTACCCTCCACTGCTGATTTGTTTTCACGGATACTGAAAAAACAAGAACTATGGATATGCATTTCAAAGGTTCTAGAGGCTATAAAAATGCAATATATACAATGGACAAATGTACTTTTATTCTAACATGAAAATCACCTTGCATTCCAAAAGTCAGAAGCTGAGTAAAACTGACATCATCAATTCACAGACACATCTTGAGTAAAAATAGTTTTGTAAAACATCTGATTTTTTGAATACATAAGACATTTTGTGTAGATGCACATAGTAAATTCAGAACTATAGTAAGCACTTCTTCTCCACTACACAGTATATGGTTAAGAAACTTTTCTGTTACAATAATCTTTGGATAATGTATTCTATTTCTTATCAGTTTAAAACTGTAATCACTGAAATGCTTCCAGTTGTTAACAAAATAAAATTAAAAATCTGAACAGCTAATGAGAAATGTGAACTTTTGAGAAAATTATTTTATATAAAATTTTCAAAAACAAACTTCGTAAAATTTTTTCTTTTGAAAAATAAATATCTTACTTAGTATTTAATGGGTCAAAATAAAAAAACAGTGTTAGTAATAGATAATATTGATATTAAATACCTATTCACTACCGGAATTATTCACTGAGGAACTTTGCTTTAATAAAAAATTACAAACCAAGACATAACTATAATAGTACAGTCTATTTTTACTGTTTTAGAATGTTTTGTTTTTCTTGATTTCACATTTTGGTATTTCTGGATAAATGTAACAAAAATCAATGGTTTAACCCACTAACATTCACTGAATCACTACTCTATCCCTCTAGCATAAATCTCAGTTGCTTGCTGTATTCTTTGAAGTTGTCACTGCTTGACCCATCATTCTCAGAAAGATCTGAATTTTTGCTAGGTCTAGATCCACTAGTGCTTTCAGTCACAACTTCCAGATTTCACTGTTATCTTTTCTTTGTTGCTACACTCCAGGTCCTCACCTTGGAGGAAGTGTAGGTGCACAGTGATGAGTTTAGCTGTTTAGCCCATAGTGAAGGTGTTTATGTTTTTATATTGCTGAATACTTTCCAATTCCATTTTCAAGCAGCTACATAAATGGAAAGCTTAAAACTCAAAGCAAGTTTAGATAACTGCTGACAAAAATAACTGATGAAAAATGTTTCACCATTATTGTTTTTTTTTTCCCAGATATGGGTGAGGATGAAGATTCTGACTGCTCACAAGTCCTCCATAGTTTTAACTGTATTTTCAAGGCACTTAGTAAATGAATTCCAAAGAATATCCATGAGGTAATGAAAAGCAATATCTTTCTTTCCTTTCTTAAACTTGAATATGTTTCACTGCTTGATGTGGGATATGTTTTTCATGGTGAATCTTTATAATCTACTTAAATATTTCTTGCTTACAGTTTTGATTTTATAAGTTCATTTAACAAGCAGGTTTAATGCATAAGATGAAAAGGCAAGGATGTTTCTCTTCACATAATGCCCTTGTTACTCTTGCCTTACTTGAATGATTCATTACCAAACCATGGACTTTATCTAGTTCAGTGTCTACAGAATCACTAAAGACCTTAGCGGAAAGTATGAAAAAATGGTTTTATTTCATATCCTTGAGAAAAACAGGTTCAGGGGTTGTAAGCACTAAGTTAATTAAAAAGTTGCCCTTCACATTAGTCAATCCAACTTACATCAGTCCCATGAATCGGCATTAGCTACTTCTCCAACAAACTTTGCATCAATTTGAAATCCTCATTCAAGAGAGAAATTTAAAGAATCATGTAGGAAATACAGAAACTGGTCTTAGTTTATACAAAGCTTTTCCCAACATTTGTCTTCAGTGTAACTTGAATACACAACTCTTGTGATACATCTTTTAATTTTCTACTATTCCTGATGTGACATCACATCAAAACAGTTCACATAACACGTGACAACTGGTTGCATCTTAGGAATTAAAGTCAGATCTGTGTTAGGTGATTGTGTAAAAGATTTCTGGTCCTTTAAAATTTTGTCATTGTTCTCATCCTCCTGTGGAAAAAAAAAAGAAAAAAAAAGAAGAAGAATGAAAACAACTTTGTAATTCAGCTGTTGGAAATTGATATATAGTAAATCAGACAAAGCATTTACGGAATATAAAAATGTTACCATTTTTAATACAGTGATGTATAAGTAATGTTGGTATGACTTAGATGGCATGCCATCTAAATGTATATTAATATTCCAAATTTGTTTCAAATCTGTGGATTCATAGATGTTGGACAGGGATCAGCAACCTGTGGCTTGCTAGCCACATGCGGCTCTTTGTGTAATTACATGTGGCCCTTTGTGTAATTACAGGTGGCTCTTTGTGTAATTACATGTGGCCCTTTGTGTAATTACAGGTGG